GGCCATGTGGGCGGCGCAGCCTTGTGTTCCCACGCAGCCTGGATTAATTGCTTTGGGGGGGGGGACTATTTCTTTGCAGACCACAAAAATTTTCTCGTGGTTGGTAACCACTGGATAAGAAGCTCCCTTCCAACTCTTGTTCCTCTGTAATTATGAGAATGGTCTTTACTAAAATGGGAAGATAAAGTTAGTATGTAACTGTTTTTTGGAATAAATATATGGTTTGAATATAATAAAGGGAATACCATGTGGAATCTGATGTAAAATGTATATATGTATGTGTGCCTAATTAATAGTAGTTAAGGAACTATTATGGCTGTATTGTTATACATTTTTATAATGGGTTAAAGGGAGTAAATGGGGAGTAAATGTATAAGTAAAGGTGTGGCAAACTCAAATTGGGAATAAAAGGGGGAAAAGCTTTGAATGGAATAATTGTACGTGGAAAAAATTGCAAATGTGGCAGATGTAAGAATACGTGTATAATTATTATAGAAATTGAATAAGAATATGGATAACATTGTTAAGTAAGACAGGAGAATATTTAAAGAAATGAAATAAGCTATAATATGAAATAAGATTATATAAAATAAGAGTAATGAATATAGAAACTGAATAAGAATATCGATAATATTGTTAAATAATGTATGCAAGTATTTAAAGAAAAGGTTAATAAGTAATAATATGATACCAATTTGGATATGAAAGCTGGTATGTAATTATGGTCACGTTTGTATGGAAATGTGAAAACCTGGAAACACATTGTTCACCTAATGAGATGTTTTTAAAAGATTAAAAAAATTAAAAAAATATTTTTAAAAAAGAGAGAGAGAACGGTCTTTGAATTTTGAAAGCAAGTTTGGGGCTTGGTTCAAAGCAGACGCTACTAATTGTGGGGAAGGTTATTTTTTTCTCCCAAAAAAGGGTAATGAAAATTGAAAGTTGGGTTTTATTTTAAAGAGAGGGAGGAAGGAAGAGAAAGACTCGACTTTCCGACGTCCAAACTGGTTTTATGCAATCTTATTGTTGACATCTTATGCCCCCTAGCGGATTAAGAATAGGTTTTCCTGGAAATTTAGCCAACGTTGTTGATCTTCACCAATTTTCCTATTTCTACCAATTATAATATTAATATTTTTGCACTACCCTTCTCGGTCTAAAGCAGTCTGCAAATGAATAAACAGAATTGGACACTGAATTAATTAAACATTGAACTTTGTTTGAGCTGAATCAGTTTGGGTAAGAAATTATCTGAATGCTCTTTCTCTCCCAGGAACTTGAATAGAATAGAATTCTTTATTGGCCAAGTGTGATTGGACACACAAGGAATTGGTCTTGGTGCAAATGCTTTCAGTGTACATAGAAGAAAATATACATTTGTCAAGAGTCGAGAATCATCAGGTACAACACTTCATAATAGGGTACAATAAGCAATCAAATGAGAGAGAGAGAGAGAGAGAGAGAGAGAGAGAGAGAGATGATAGGTAGGTAGGTAGGTAGGTAGGTAGGTAGATAGGTAGACAGGTAGGTAGGTAGATAGATGGATGATAGGTAGGTAGGTAGGAAGGAAGATAGATGGACTAGACTAGAAAGAATAGAATAGAATAGAATAGAATAGAATAGAATAGAATAGAATAGAATAGAATAGAATAGAATAGAATAGAATTCTTTCTTGGCCAAGTGTGATTGGACACACAAGGAATTTGTCTTGGTGCAAATGCTCTCAGGGTACATAGAAGAAAATATACATTTGTCAAGAGTTGAGAATCATAAGGTATGACACTTAATAGTCGTCAAAGGGTACAATAAGCAATCAAATCATACTAGGAAACAGTCAATATAAATCGTAAGGATACAAGCAACGAAGTTACAGTCATACAGTCACAAGTGGGAGGGGATGAGGGATAAGGAGTGATGAGAAGATTAACAGTAATCATAATGCAGACTTTGTAAATAGTTGGACAGTCTTGAGGGAATCATTTGTTTAGCAGAGTGATGGCGTTGGGGAAAAAATGAGCATGTAAAATGTGCGTGCATCTATCATCGTAAACAATTTTGGAACTGGTTCACCTCCAGGCAGGGAAACGTGTTAAAATATTTGGGACCCATTTACCTGAGGATTTTTCCAGACGTTGGTTGCTCCTGGCCCCAGTAGAAGAGATCAAGTCCAAAGGGGACCAGGGGAGCTCTGGCTTTCTCCTCTTTGCGTTGATTGCTGGCCTCCTTGGATGTGGTTGGTTCACAATCCCTAACAACATGCATGGAAAAAAAAATGGGAAAGAGAAAGACAACCAAATTTCAGCTTGCGCTCAAATTTGCGTGATGCAGCCTGTTGCTAAGCGGGAATTCACCTGGTTTATTGTGTGTTCACAACAACACTCTTGTGTTTTGGATTCCTGGGAGGAGAGGCAGCCCAAGCAAGATCTAAGAAGGGGGACTAAATTTTACAGCCTTCTCATCTTTAACAAGCATAATTATAACAATCCTTCACACTTTCCTTCTAATTAAGCGGTTGTTTGGCTGTTGGAGTTGGTGGCTTCTTCGGCTGGGGGTTCCAGTGAACAAACCTCATCAAGAAACCCCCCAGAAACACCCAAACAAAAACTCTCAGGGCAAGCCATTTGTAAATTAAAACGAAGAGTAAACCCCACTCCCTTCTAGCACTGATGATGTTACCTAGTTGGGTAATAAAATGTCTACAAGGGGGAAAAATAAACCAAACTCAAAGAGCACCAAAGAGCACCTCCCTCCCTCTCTCCTCCTCTTCCTCCTCCTCCTTCTCATTTTCTTCCTCTTCTTCCTCCTTCCCCTTCCTCCTCCTTCTCCTCTTCCTCCTTCTCTTCCTTGTTCCCCCTCCTCCCCTTCCTCCTCCTTCTCGTTTTCCTCCTCCTCTTCCTCCTCTTCCTTCTTCCCCTCCTCCTCTTCCCCTCTTCTTCCTCCTTTTCTTCTTCCTCCTCCTTCCCCCCTCCTCCTCCTCTTCCTCCCCCCGCAACCATTACTCCCTTCTAGCACGGATGACATTACCTAGTTGGGTAATGAAATGTCTGCAAGGAAAAAAAACCAAAACCAAAACTTAGAGAACACCAAGGACCCCCAAAATGTTCACAATGCCCTGATTTAAAATATCGTCTCTACAACGACATAAGAAAGGCCAACTTTACACAGTGATTAAGGCCTAACATGCTTCCATGCCGTTGATTGGTACCCGAGAATGCGATGGGGGCAGAGATACCTCTTCAACGTCTACTATCTACCTGTCCTCTGCAGTGGGCAGCCTGGGCAGTTTATCTCGGATAATTTTCCAGGTGGCTGCAGCGCAGGTGGGATCCAGCTCTTCCTCCTTCCTTACAGATGGGGACGAGAACGGAGATGCTGGGGCAGCTCTGTTCTTTCCAGTCCCGGCCACATTTTTCCTGGTGGGCAAGACAGGCTCCAGGCCTCAGAGAATAAAGGGAGAGAGAGTCTGGTGAGTGGAAGTATTGCCGAGCTGGGCGTAAAACGATTCCTGCCTCATCCGAAGGTGGGTTTGCCCAGCTAACGTTGTACACAGAATATGGTTCTAAGGCTACCTGGAAAATTAGTTCACGAATCCAAAACATTGCTGTCCAGCAAAAGAACCAAACCGAGTAAGAAGAGACATACATTTTTGCCTGCACGGTTGAGGGATGGGTATTTACCTGAGCTAAGTTGCAACATTTCTGATTCATGTTTTGTATTTAAGGAAAATATGATTATACTCCTCTGTCTGTTGAGCCCTCGTGGCACAGTGGCGAGAATGCAGTATTACAGGATGGGCTCCCTGCCCACTGACAGGAGTTTGATCCTGACCAGCTCAAAGTTGCCTCAGCCTTACGACCTTCTGAGGTGGGTAAAATGAGGACCGAGATTGTTGGGGGGCAATACGCTGACTCTGTAAATCACTTAGAGAGGGCTGGAAAGGACTGTGAAGCAGGATAGGATAGGATAGGATATTGGAAAGAAGAGTAGAGTAGAGTAGAGTAGAGTAGAGTAGAGTAGAGTAGAGTAGAGTAGAGTAGAGTAGAACAGAAGTTATTGTTCTATTCTATTCTATTCTATTCTATTCTATTCTATTCTATTCTATTCTATTCTATTCTATTCTATTCTATTCTATTCTTCATCCCAATATTCTATTCTATTTCTATTTCTATTATTTCTATTTCTATTTCTATTCCTTTGTTGACAATAACTTTGAATGTACACTAATCGGCCTACATTAGAATGAAATTTCATTGCGTTTAGTTCTCAAAGACTCACCATCTATATATGTGCATCTGCTCTTGCTATCCCAGGTTATGTAACTTTCCATTTCACATTAAGCAAAATGCTCCCAAAATTGCAATTTTTCCAGACTTTAAAGCTATCCTTTACGTATTTTTAACGTTCCATCATACCACTGACAATGCTTTTGGTTAATACACGTCACCTAATACTTTCACCGGCAGAAGGAAAAAAAAATGAAATAAAAGTCCAAATTCCCTTTTTTCCTCCTCCTTTAAACTGACCCAATGGCACCTATTTGCCTGCGGCAATAAAGCAAGACAGTGCTAAAGAGAGATAAATCAATAGAAGGAAAGAGAGAGGTTGGGTTTTCCGCAGCAAGTTGGACAGGGGAGAAGGCTGACTTTATTGATTTCAGCTCGTTCAGCTGGCCTTGTAATTAAAATGTAAATTTGAGAAAGAGATTATGTCCTGATAGAAATGGTGGGATTAGGGGGAAGATTAAAAAAACTCCTTGGATAACAAAAAACAAAAAACAAAATCCAGAGAAGATAGAAGAGCAGACTTCATCGGGATTTAGTGCAATGGAGAGAAATGCACACCAAGCAAGAACATAAATTATAAAAAATAAAAACTTTTCGGAGAATGGGTTTGCTTCCTACCAGCCTTCCCGTACACAGATCCAATCCATTTAATCTACGAAAAAATGTTGATTAATATGAGCTAGAATCCCAAGAATTTAGGCAGGAGAATTGGGAAATCTTTTGTCTTCTGCTCCACGCAACAGGAGCAAAATTGTTGTGTGAAGGCACACAACCATTCTGTGTTACAAGCTGAATTTGATCTGAATCTGATATAAAGATGCACAAATGTGCTTTGGATCCAGTTTGGGCACCTGATTTTTTTGATATATTTCCCAATTTTTAAAAAAATATTTTTTAGAATATATTCTTCTAATATCATTCATTAAATCTTTAGCCTATCGCTGTGCCTTTATCTATCAGCATCGTTTCATTCTCTGCTTTTTACTGGAACTACCAGCCTCATTTTGGTTCAAATATACTCTTCTATAAATAACTTCTCTTAGTTTTTAAGCATTTCGTTAAAGTTTATTATAAGGTAGAATAAAAGAGAAGCAAAAATCGAGAAAGTTAAAGAGAAAAGAAGTGCAGAAAGAAGAGGGGAAAAAAAATTGGGGGTGGAGTTGTGACTTCCCATTTTTTCAGTACAGTGCAGTAGAATACAAACAAATGCCAGGTCACGATTGTCCCAAAAGTGCTTTTTTCAGGAAGCAACTGGACTTTCCTGTTTTTCTTTGAAGATGTTTTGCTTCTCATCCAAGAAGCTTCTTCAGTTCCTCTTCTTCAGAGCTGAAGAAGCTTCTTGGATGAGAAGTGAAACATCTTCAAAGGAAAAACCCAGAAAGTCCAGTTGCTTCCTGAAAAAAAAAGCACCTTTGGGACAATACAAACCAACCTTTTTGCTTTAAATTTCTAAATATTTCAACCCATTTCTACCACCACAAAAAAACCCCTTGTAGTCATCGGAACCTACAATTAAAGTTTTATTTCTCTTTCAGTTTTGAGTACAGAATCCAGAAGCCATTTCCAAACAGAAGGAAAACTAGATAAATTCTTCTTCCCTTTCGTTGGCTTTGTCATCTTTGCCAACACTAGAGTCAGACCGATTCTTCCACTGAAGGTCTTTCCATCTTTTGGGCATTTATAGTAAGGAAGTTCCAAATTTTTCTTTCAAGGTCTTTTATCGGTCAAATTTAAAATAAGTTCCGATTGCAATCAAAGGGCCCGTTTCTCAATCAAATTGGACTCTTTTGCTGGGAATTTGGAGTGCAAAAAAATCCATTGGTGATCAGGTGCTAGTGTAAATAAGGATTATACAAATGAGGGGTCATTAAAAAAGGCTGGTAATGTTAATTTGGCATGACACCCCTTAATGGGTTATGTCTTCACACTTCAGTTGTCTAATCACAGAAATTCTTTTGCAAATTTGCATTCCATCTTGCCCACAGAAAATCAAATTGGCTCTCACTTCTATCCCAAAACTCATTTCTTGCCCTAATGGCAGTCAGGATGTACTTTTTTTTTGCAGCTGTGAGATTAATTAAAAACTACTCTGCTGTTTCTGGATGGTAACTGTTTGGTTATAGAGCAGAGACCTAGTATACAAAGAAAAGAAAAATTGGTAAGCCATGAAACAGAAGGTTCTAAATTTTAAGGATAAAATGGAAATTGGACAATTCAGTGCTTCTTCTCTATCTCAGTGCTTGCTGTGAAGAGGCATTCAAGTAGCAGTTGAACATTGGAGGTTTTTTATATCAGGATGCAAAAGGCTTAGGAATTGCCCACTTTATACGAGCGTGGGTTTCAGAGTGGAATGCTTTAATTAAAAGCAAATTAATTTTAATTCCAAGATAAGCAGTTTATAATTTGCTGTTAATCAGCATGCAAATTCAAAGCAACGTGGACAATTTTGTGTAGGAGTATTTCCTGAAAATGCTTCGTAAACAGATCACTGGGCATCCAATTCAATCAATCGATCGATCAATCAACCAGAATGCAGCTGGAAGGGACCTTGAGAGGTCTTCTAGCCCAACCCCTTGCTCAAGCAGGAGACCCTATACAATTTGAGACAAGTGGCTGTCCAGTCTCTTAAAAACCTCCACCCACAACTTCTGGGGGCAACTTCTATTCCACTGATTAATTGTTCTAATTGTCAGGAAATTTCTCCTTAGTTCTAGGTTGAATCTCTCCCTGCTTAGTTCCCCTCCATGGTTTCTTGTCCTGCCTTCAGGTGTTTTGGAGAATAATTTGACCCCCCTCTTCTTTGTGGCAGCCCCTCAAATACTGGAATACTGCTATCATGTCCTCCCCTGGTCCTTCTTTTCATTAAACTAGCCATGCCCAGTTTTTGCAACGGTTCTTCATATGAATCAAGTTAATTCATATTTGGATACCACAGCTCTGCAGATGGACAATAAGGTATTTTGAAGCAGATGGGGGAGTTGGCACCTGGATAGGTTTCCTTAATTGAAAATACATCATTATGTCAATTGCACAGGGCAGGTGTGCAAACCCAGGTG